GGGGGCATGTCGCCGCTCAGCGAAACCAGACGGGGGGCGGCGGCTGGTTTCGGGGCACCGGCGGCAAGGCTTGTGTCTCCTGAGAGCTGGAAGACGAAGCAGGCCGCGGTCTGTCTCTGATGGGACAAGAGAAGAAATTAGCCCTGTGCGTCCATCGCTGGGAGTAGGGACCGTGAAACACGGAGGTCCTCCTCCGAAATAAACAACATGTGTACAGCAGTGTTGAAGGTCACGTCCCACGGTCTTCCACCGCCACAAGGGAGTCCCTGGCAAAGAGCTGGCCCTGGAGGCTTGACTCTTGGCCTCTTGCCACTTCTAAGGGGGAATGGCTTCCAAATAATATTTCTATCGGTGTAAGAGGCTAGTGCGGGGAAAAAGAGACTGGGAAGCATCTGCGAAGAAGAGAAAGCGCCTCCTAACTGCACTTTCCGAGAAGTGAGTTGGGGGCTTAATTTGGAGAAGGGCAAAGAGGAGGGGACTCGACCGGTTAATGAGTTACAGAGCGAGCAAGGTTCGGCTGTTCCGGTTACTTGCAAATAGCTACAGTTAATAAATCCGGAGCTTTAAAAAGTCACCTCTGCATGAATTGGTTCACCTTTGTGAACGCACAGAAGGTATATTTTGCACATCGAGTATCATGAAGAATTTCAAAAAGGACTAACAATTCATATGTATCCCTTCGTGGAAAAGGAGGATATGAGAAGCAAAGTGGACATACTTTTGAATAAATGTAGCTAGCTTCCAACTAATAATTTTATTACTCATAAGCTTAGCGTTTTTGTTGGTTTGTTTTTCCTTAACTTTTGCCCTTTGGGAAGACAGTTTTTACTGAGTCCACAAACAGAACACTTGCAGAAATCCCTACTGCTACTTGCTAAGTAACAAGTATAGGTTGCTGTAAGGGAATATGTGCTAGGTGCTACATAGGGTACCAGAGTACAATGACCTATGGATTAGATGAGTAATTGGAGGGTGGGGGGAAATAGTACTTCTACTAGAGATATAAACATTTAATGGGAGACAAACCATGAGAAGTTTTACCCTTGGCATTAGCAGCATGAAAGAAGGCATGAAGAGAAGACCAAGACACTCTGGGAAGAGAAAAAAATGAGAGATGGAACAGAAAATGGGGTGAATTAAAGTAAAATAGCTGAATGGATGCAGTCTATTTTAGACCATAGCTTGGTGCAGAATTAGCCCTCCTTAAACTTCCAGATATCAAATGGCTTCCATGCACCAACTACATACCCAGGAATGGATGCACATTTGCTCTCCTAGTATGTTTGGGGACTGGCCTTATGAATCAACTAATTTTTTTTATTCCATCAGATCCTTTTCACTTGTAGAGAGGAGCAAAATGACCACTGTAACAGCAAAAGCAAAAAACAAACCCCATATATGTTTTAATATTATTGTATCCACATTTAGTATTTTAAAAGTCTGTTAAAGAGACTTTTTTTTTTGCTGGCTACATCCTTGCTATTTGGGAGAATAGCAAATAAGAATCAAAAAAATATAAAGCTTATGAATACAATTCAGACAACACTATAAAAATCTAAATAGAACCAACTACACACTAATATAAATGTATAAGAGGGAAATTTTAAAAAATTATACCTACCTACAAAATTTTAGCTATGTTTTATACAAATTATTAAAGAATATTAATTTACTAGTATAGGCTTTCATAGCTGGTGTCTGATGGGCAGTGTTGACCTTCAATCAGGATTGTTGACCAATCAGGATTGGGCACAAACAACCAATCAGAACAGCCCTCACCAATCTGCACCAATTGGAAACCAACTTGGCTAAAAACCAATCAAAAATCAGGTACCTGGCTATAAGACAGGAGCCTAGTTAATCTCTGCTGAGTTGACTGCGGTCTGCATGGTAGACTACCTTGCCTCTGAGGATGCCAGCTACTGTTGCTGGCAAAATGTCAGGAATTCTGTCTACACCGTGGTTACTAAACACTGAACTGCCCAACATTAATAATTATTTTCAAAGAACAAACTGAACTTTGACAGAATATTACTATTCTGTCTTTCTATTGATAGAGCCAGTTCAAAGGCTGAGAGTTGACAAATGTTATTAACATCAGTTTTAGAGTTTGGCATATTCACCTCCTTCCAGAAATGCATAATCACCCTTTTTGAACAATCGGCACAATGTATTCAATGCTGTTTGTAAATTGATAAATTCTAAATTTCTAACATATTTCTAACATATTTATTTATAGTTATATATAACATAACTATATTTAATAATATTTAATTACTAAACCTTACTGCTTGGGAGATGGCATTTGCAATTACCTTAAATATTCAAAGCACATTAATAAAAAATGTGCAAAACCTAGGATGTAGGAAAAAAATCATTGCCAAATAGGATAACGGTTACTGTTTGAATATTCTCATGGATAATGGAAAATAACTTGTTTGGTCGCAAGTGTTATGGATGGTAAAGCAATCTGTGAATTAACGGACCTTAACAAACTTTCCTCTTTGAGAAGACGCAAAAGAAATTACCTGCAACACATTTATTTATTAGAAATGTTTCTATAACACTTCAATCATATGACTTTAAGTGTCTTACCACATAACATACAATACTTATAGTACATTACAACAAATCAGAAAGTATCCATATTATAGGATATAATAACTATCATTGGGAGGAGTATTGGGTATATTCTGGCATTGCATAGTGTACTTATTCACCCATAATAGGCCCAATTAAAGCTTTGTTTAACCTGAACGCATCTCCTAAAAGGCTCCGAAGAATTCTTCACAGACTATATAGGTTCTTTAGGGCTATACATTGGTTATTTAGTCACTGCTGTCCTTTTTCTCCACTGTGGCCTGCCTGCCTCGCCAGAAAGTCAGCAAGCAAGCACTGATAGTAAGAACTAATAGCAAGAATAACCATGAGCTGCTCAGTTGTTGCCTGCCGTCCTTCTGGATAATAGTGGAGTTTGGACTTAGAATCCAGTTCTCATTACTGTTGCAGAAAAAAGGGAACAACAGGCATATAGTAATGATCTCACCACTTGCTTACTCAGCCACACTTTCCACTCCTTTGTGAAAGAGAACTGACAGGAGGAGACATATCAGTTACTGACAGGTGTTCATCACTTGCATCCTGCTCTTATCCTTGCAGTTAGTGAGGATGTGCAGTGAGAATGAAGAGAAGCTGCCAATGCTGATAAAGAGGTGATGAGAGACCATGGTGAAAAGTAGGGGATTTTGCTCAAAGACCCCACAAAAACTGGAATTGGCAGTCAGACTCCTGGATGGGGGAGATGGTCCAGTGGTGCTAGATGGCTTGAAAGACTAGGAATTATGTACAAAAAGATAACAATATCCTAATTGCATTGGTTGATCAAAACATGGGTTTTTATGATCTAACCAGTGAGACCCATAGTTTTGAAAAGGGCATGAATGCATCCCTCCATTTTTTTACACATATATATAAATATCAGGATTGTGTAAAAAAGGTGCTTTGAAGCAGGTGGGAGTATAAACATAACATTTTTTCACATTCAGAACTGAACACTGAACAGCCCTAGTGAATTTCATTCTTGAATTGAGATCACGGTGCCAAATGTTAAATACTTGATATACATAAAGGCCAACATTTTTGCACTGGAAACTTAGAAAAAAAGACCAGTTCATTTGTTTTAGTTTTGGAGTAACAAAAAAGAACTGATTTCCCACAGAGAAGCATAGCACTTCTGAAGGAAAGTGGGCCTAAGAGCATCAGAACAAAAATAAAATAAAAAAAAAACCTGCAGATTTCAATAGAATTTCAGGAATCAACACAGATGGGAGAAAAAATGAAGGGAAGAATGAGTCTACAGTTGCTCTATAGAATGAGATTTTATCAGAAGTACAACTTCAGGCTATTGTGATCCAAAGGAAAGATAAAGAGAGCTCATAAAAAGCCAGCTGGGTGAATAAGGAGCTGTCGGATGTCCTGAAAACCAAAAAGGAAGCGTACAGGAAACAGCAGGACACACGATTACCAAAGTCCATAAAGAAAGGCTTTTGTCATAATTCCACTTGAAATTTTACTTGTGTAAATTTAATTGTTCAGGGCTTCTGCAAACCTCTTTGTACACACGATGGTTGTTGTAGCAAGGATAGCTTTTCACGTTTATTGAGGATATGAAGATGGACCCTACCAACACTGAGGTAAAATATCCTTGATTATGTGTTGCATTCTTTTGTGAATCAGAGCTGCTGCATATATAATAACCTTATTTGGTAAATTGTAAATGTATATATATATATATTACTGTTAAAATATGAAGAAGGAAGGATCAACGGCATTTCCTACAGTTCTGCTATTCAGCAAATGTGTTGATAGTAATTGTATTTATTCACAAATTCCTAGAATGTAAAGGTTGAAAGGGATATTGGAGATAATCTAGTCCAACCCCATACTTACTTCAGGAATCTACTACTGCACCCAATGGGTATTGGCCTTCTGGGTAGAAGAAAAGTCCTTTTGCTCCAAAAAGCCTACAATCCAAGATTCAGCTAGTACAGTATAAAGAACAGAAGGAAGGGAAGGGAAGGGAAGGAAAGGGAAGGAAAGGAAAGGAAAGGAAAGGAAAGGAAAGGAAAGGAAAGGAAAGGAAA